ATATGAGTTACCTAGAGAATTCAGCTTCATACAGACAGTAGAAAGAAGATTGTCAGGGAGTAGGGGAAAGGGGAAACGGGGAATTTTTAGTGGGTGGAGAGTTTCAGTTTTGCAAGATGAAAAGAGTTCTGGAGATTGGCTGTATAACAGTGTGGAAGAAAGTACTCTACATTACTGAACTGTACACTTAAAAATAGCTGAGATGGTAAATTTTATGTTATGTATATTTCACAATTTTTTTTAAAAAGGAGAAAAAAAACATTCAGAGGAAGAAAGATACATAGCACATAGGATTCTACGAATAAAAATAACATCTGACCTCTCATCAGAAACAATGAATGGCAGAAGACTATAGAATGACATACTTTAAAATGCCAAAAGAAAATAACACTATCATTCCAGAATGTTATATCCAGCAAAAATATCTCAGAAATGAAGGTAAAATACAGATCTTTCCAGATAAATGAAAACTGGGAGAACATGTCAAAAGGGGACTTATATGGGAAGAAATGGCAAAGGAAGCACTTTTGGCTGAAGAGTGAAAACCAGGTGAAAACCTCACCAGACAATGTTTAATACTTGCCTTCAACACTCACATATTTTAAGGAACTTAGGGGGAAAATTATGCAGATAACTCCTATTTCTGCTGCCCTTCCTTCATTCCTGAAGATTTAGTTTCCTTTTGGTACTATTTTGCTTCAGCCTGAAGAACTTCCTTATCACTTCTTTAAATCTGATCTCTTGGAAACGCTCTTATTTTTCTTTCCTCTGAGAATCTCTTGATTTTGTTTTCATTCCTAAAGAACAATTTTGCAGGATATAAACGTGGGGGTTCATAGTTTTTTTCTTTCCCTTAATTTCAAATGCATTTTCCTTCATCACATGGAATATCGTTATAATACAGGCTTTTAAATTTGTGTCTGATAATTCCAACATCTGGGTTATGTTGGAGTTGGCATCAGGGCTTTCCCTTGAGAACCAGTTACCCATTGCTGGTTCTCTGTATGCTGAGAAATTTTGGATTATATACTTAATGTTGTGATATTATGCTGTGTGGACTCTGGATTCTGTTATAATCCTCTGGAGAACGTGGAGGTTTTTGTTTTGCAGGCAACCTACGTGGTTAGATTCAGGCTGCCAAGTTCTGTGTCTCCTTCTGTGTGTCAGAGTGCAAATCTCAGTGTAGTTCTCAAAACCTCTGCTGTGCTGGTGTGGTCTGTCCAACATCCATGCAGCTCACAGTGAGCCTGAAACTTGTGCGGTTTCACACCCAGAATTAGGAAATCTCTTCTCCAACTGTCTTCACTCTGGGTACTCTACTCCTTTCCAGCCCCCAAAGGGCTCCTTTTCTGGTTCCTCTACCAAGAAATATGGGATTTCCATTAGAGTTTCAGCTGTGCGCTCCGCTGTGCTGCTGGGCGAGCAGGCCCGCCTTCAGGGAAATTCCATGAGATACAGAAATACGTCTCTGTGTAGCTGCAGCTCCAAATTTTTCTCCCCTTTATAATTTGCCTCATTTTATTTTTCTAGACTCAAAACAATGACAGGGTAATTGTATTTTGTCCACAGTGTTCAGTTGTGACCAGTGGGAGGGAGTGTTTCTGCCACCACACAGGAACTGGAACCTCTCAGTTATTTTCCAGAGTTTCTAGCTCTCTCCTGAATCTCACCATCTCTTCACTCAGGATCCAGTCCCTCCTCCCCTACCCCCACATATTATAGCAATTAACATACATATTTTAATGTCTTTGTATGCTGCTAGCTCCTTGGAAGAGTCAAATCTCTCAGTTTCTGCCTGCTTTTTGATAGCTCTTCAGTGCTTGAACAGTTGCTTTTTTATATTGTGTTTGGAGTTTATAATTGTTACAGTATGTTTAAATTTTTTTTAATGTTTATTTATTTTTGAGACAGAGAAAGACAGAGAGTGAATGGGGGAGGGTCAGAGAGAGGGAGACACAGAATCCAAAGCAGGCTCCAGGCTCTGAGCCGTCAGCACAGAGCCCGATGCAGGGCTCGAACTCACAGAGTGTGAGACCATGACCTGAGCCAAAGTCTGATGCTTAACCGACTGAGCCACCCAGGTGCCCCACAGTATGTTTAGTATCATGCAAACTACTCTAACACTTCCAGAAACTATATGGTGTTTCTGGACCGAAGAAAGCTTCCTTCCCATCCTCCATCACTTGGGAATTCTGCAAACATTGTTTGAACTTATTTTTTCCCAAAGTCTCCAAGATCCTGCTCATCACTCTCTTGCTCCCACACCCACACAAGTGAAAGCAGTGACACAGAGAAAAGCCCGCAGTAAAGCTGCCTCCCCAGCTGCTGCCAGACAAGTCTGGTCTCCCCTATTATGTTGACTCTCTATAAGAAATATATTTTGATATTTTTTATGCACCTACTATATGCCTTTGGTCTTGTCTTCACAAAATGCAGAAATATATTAATATAAATATCCATAATATGAAGCAGAGAGTTCCAAATGCTGTGTGAGAGAGAATAAAAAATTGCTGTGGGAATGCAGGGAAGAAATAAATTTCATCTAGGAAAATTAACAGAGGTTTTACAGAGGAGGAGGAGGTGCAGAGAGTGGGCCACAACTGCTAATTCAAGCAGAGACATTTCTATATCTGCTGCTTTAGCAGCACCATCGGAGTGGGGGTGGTGGCAGTTGTCAATATTAGATAAAGCCTTCTACTTGAAGTGTGATCTACAGACATGCTGCACTGGCATCATCTGGTGTTTAGCAGAAAGGCAAGATCTCAGGACCCCCTCCAGGCCCACTGAATCAGCATTTCAACCAGATCCCCAGGTATTTCATATGCACTTTGAGAGGCATTAAGAAAGTACACTGTCTTTCGATAGAACTATGATTTGAAGACCTCCCCCTCTCTAATCTCAGGCAATCACAGGTGCAGGAGAGGGGGATGCAGCACAAGGAGAAGAAACGTTAATATGTACTGAGGACGCACTACCGGGTATATGTGTTCTGTCATTTTATGCTCATCAGTAAACCTCAGAATTCATTACTTCCATCCTGCAGATAAGGAAATGGAAGCTCAGGAGGTTAAAGAATTAGATCACAAGGAAAGTAGCAGAACCTGAATTTGGACCCATATCTGATGGACTCCAAAGCCTGTGATCTGCTTCTGGTCACACCCCACTGCCTGTCTCGGGTGTGTGATTCAGGAGAATCAGTGCTATTTACAGCACTGCGGCTAACTAGTTCAGTGATCTTGGCTAATTCGTCCTTTTTTTTTTTTTTTTTTTTTTTAAAGAACTCAGCTCCTTATGTCTAAGTTAATCGTGTTTGAACTACTAAAAGGTCACAAATGAGTGAATCCTGAAACAAATGAAAATGGGCATTTGAGACAACCTTAAGACTGAGTGCGGGGAGCCTCTGTTGTGTGATGGTAAATGACTCAGAGACCCAGAAGCAGAATCGTGCAGTGTAGAGTCTAGGACCAGAAACAAGCAGACCTGGTTTCTAGCCCTACCTCTGTCACTTCTTAGTTGTGAACCTCATTTTCTTCATCTATGAGGCGGGGAGAAGGGAGCTAGACTGGCTACCTCTCAGTGCCTTTGATTGGGTCACGTGAGGTTATACATGAAAATGGTCCATGGCGTGATACATAGTTCTCTAATTGCTTTAATTTTTGTTAACACAAATTAGGTATTTCTAAATTAATTAAGAAATGTGATTTGTAGCCTGCTGGCCATGGTAGTAACTGGGAACAAGCTCTGGCAAAGTCCATCATTTCTGTGCTTTTGCTTACCCTAGCAATGGGAATAAAAGGTAATAAAAATATCTACAGGCTCCACACCTGTGAGAGAGATTGGTGCCAGGAATACAAAGACCATTATTCTCGAGCAGGAAGTCCTTGCTCTAGAACTTCCTGTGATGATGAGATGCTTCCTTATCTGTGCTGTCCAGTACAGCAGCCATTAGCCACATGTGGCTACTGAGCACTTGAAATGTGGCTAGTGCAACTGAGAACTTAATTTTAAATTTTATTTCATTTGAATCCATTCACATTTAAATCACCACGTATGGATAGTGACTACCATGCAGAACAGTGCAGCTCTAGAGCAAAAGTGAGATATGGATCTGTTGAGTAGTGTAAGATTTTATAGCTATATTCTTTTTTTTAAATATAATTTATTGTCAAGTTGGGTAACATACAGTGTGTACAGTGTGCTCTTGGTTTTGGGGTAGATTTCCGTGATTTGCTGCTTACGTACAAAACCCAGTGCTCATCCCGACAAGTGCCCTCCTCCATGCCTGTCACCCATTTTCCCCTCTCCCCCCACCCAACAACTCTCAGTTTGTTCTCTGTATTTAAGAGTCTCTTGTGGTTTGCCTCCCTCCCTCTCTGTTTGAAACTATTTTTTCCCCTTCCCTTCCCCCATGGTCTTCTGTTAAGTTTCTCAAGATCCACCTATGAGTGAACACATATGATATCTATCTTTCTCTGACTGACTCCTTTCACTTAGGAAAATACCCTCCAGTTACATCCATGTTGCTGCAAATGTCAGGATTTCATTCTTTCTCATTGCCAAGCAGTATTCCATTGTACATATAAACCACATCTTCTTTATCCATTCATCAGTTGATGGACACTTAGGCTCTTTCCATAATTTGGCTATTGTTGAAAGCATTGGTTTATAGATATATTCTTAATGCCAGCAAATAAATTGATTTTTTTCCTAATTCTGAAACTCTAGCCCCTAGTGCCTTTTTTCCTCCAAATTAAACAAAACATTTTTATAGCATCGTTTCTGATCATGGGTTCCGGAGGAACCCAATTATCACTGTATAGCAATAAAATGTGAAGGTTACCTAAGCAAAAGAAGGATGCTCTGTTAATAAATACGTCTGTTCACCTGAGAAGAGAAACCATTTCACTCCCCTGTCTTTAAAATTAAAAACTGTAGGACGGAAAGCGACTAGGTCCTGTGAGTGGGTGCTTGCCCCACCGCTGCTTACAGCAGTCTCCTACCTTGCATTTTCCGCTCTCCGGCTTATGCACTGGTGCAAGTAGAGATACTCCTGAGGCGCACTGGTGGACAAGGTGGGCTGCATGTGGTTGGACACAGGGGGTTCAAAGGTGAACAAGGTTGGCTGGCTGGAGTGCGATGGGGCTGAGGACTTGCGTTCTCGAAGAAGGTGCTGACTGGAGCTGCTGAGCTCAGCTGGAGAAGAGCGGGGGCCGTGACTGGCAGAGGACATGTTTCTCAGGGAGTCTGTGAAACAAGAGAAGGAGCTCTGTGACTGAAAAGGGGAAGAAAAGTGGCCTTATCCCAAAGTGGGATGTCAGAGGAAGAAGAGATATTAAGAGCAGAGGCAATGATCCAGCAGCAGCCTTCTCTCCCCCTCACACACCTGCTCCTTCTCTGTCTGCCTGAGTGAAAAAGACTGTGGCCTCCTGGTGGAAACGGAGATGCCCTGTCCCTCGGCACTGCTCCTGGAGTCGTCTGGAGTCTGCTCCCTCTCACAACCCTGATGGTGATGGCCCTGCTCCCAGGAGGTGTGGCTGTCCATGGCTCAGGACTGTGACTCTGGCCCTTCTCCAGAGGGAGGGCAGTAAGTGCCACTGCCCTCCTCCTCTTTGGAGGCTCCTGCTGTCATCACCTCTGTCAAAGCTAAGGCTGGCTTTGTTAAATGAGCTTTGCTTCCTGAAGACTCATTGATTCAGACCCTGGACTGTACCTTATTGTGTAAATGATAAAAGCAGAAATGTACTTGCAGCAAACCGTCCCATGGAAGACTGGTCCCAGCTCCTCCTGCCTGCCCTTCCAAGTCCTCTGAGGACAACGATGTTCCCCGTTCCCCAACTCTTGTGCCCACCACTCTGTGTCAATTGGTCTTTTTTCTCTTAATTCTCATCTTACACTCCCCTCTGTTGTGCTAGAAAAGCAGCAAGGTATTAAAGATAGATCATAGCTGAGAGTACTACCCTCCCAGCCAAGGGCATTACTCATTTGGCTGGTTCTCCAAGCCTAGTCCAAGTTCCTGAGCGTAACACATAAGGCCTTTCACAGTCTGACCTACTTCCTGCTTCTCTCCTCCTGTACCCGAGGCATTCGGAAGCTTCATCAGTCCCCAGACACACCGGCCCCTTTTACAACTCTTTCTCATGGCTTATGCTGTTCCTTCCGCCTGGATTTCACTTCTACTCCACTGGCACTCATATGCAGACTTGAAGACCCTACATGGATATCATATTCTCTCTGAAACCTTCCTGGACTCAGTCCTTTTTCTGGCTGCCAATAGCACTTGGCCTGTGCTTCATTATGTCCACTGTCACTCTGCCTCCCTGCCTGGCCTTGTTTCTATGAACAGTGCCTGATGCTGCTATGTCTACAGTCCCAGGATTCACCTAATAAAGGCCAGGCGCATAGACATTTCTTAGTCTGTGGAAGGAGAAAAAAAGTCACGGAGCGCACAATAATTCCATAGTGAAACTTCTTGTTCGAAAGAAATAAAGTTTTAAAGATGTAATTGCCGGTGATGTGATAGCTAGTGGGGGATGACATTTCAGGGGTGGTGATGGGGGCTTGCTAGGGCTAGTCAAATCTTTTCAGAGGGGACATACTTCTGTTTCTACTCCCCATCATCTGACCTATTTTAGTACACTTCTCATGGCCCTAGGCAGGATCACCAGCTTGTTAGTGCTCTATCGCATTAATTAGTCCCCAGTCTTTACTGATGCAAGGCAGAACAACTTCTGCCTGTGTACAACAGAAAAGCCATGGGCCTCTGGGGAAAAACTGTTCCATCGACAGCTGTATTGACCTCCAAAATGAATTCCCATTACAGGTCTTGTAGTGAACTGGATGTTTGTTAACAGAATCAATGGCTTCATTACTCCATTAGATTTGCAAGATGAACTCTCTAATGGCAGAGGGGAGAGGGTTTATGCTAGGGGATGGAGTAGCCATGGAGCCAGGGATGGGCAAAGCCGCGGCCTGAGAAGACATAGGGAAGGTGCCAAGAGGAAGCCTCTGGTGCATTTCTACCTTCCCCTGTGGTCTTTTTGGACTCCTCTACCTCTGCCACCCTTTCAGTGGATGCATTTTTCAGGGTTTCACCCCAGAGCCTCCTCTATCATCACTGACTCAGGACACTCTCCTGGGGTGTTCTCTTCCAGCCAGGTGATGACAACTCTCAAAAAATCCATCTTTAACTCTGTTCTCTTTCCTGGGCTCTCATCTAAGATGCCTGTTGGGCATCTCCATTCATATGTCCCACAAGCAGGTCAAGCTCAGTGATCTCCTCCTCCTCCTGTGTCCTGCTTCTCTGTGAAGTACATCAACATCAGCATCCAATCAGCTGAGCCGGAAATGTAGGTGTTACTACAACCCCTCTCTGTTTGTCAACAACTGCACCATGTCACTATGTCCCTGCCCTGCTTAAAATTCTTCAGTGGATCCCTGTTATCCTCAGGACAACGTACAAAGCTCTCTCTTTTTAAAACCATTTTTCTGTTTATTTCTTTAACCTTATTTCTGACCAATCCTTCCTTGTGTTTCAAACAGAATTTTAGGAAAATAGTAACTTTTCTGTCCTATCACTCCATATATCTGGCTGTAAGCTCAGTGAGGGCAGAGACACTGTCTCTTTTCTAACACTTTTATCCCTTGCATCAAGCCCAGTATGTGACACAAGTCCATAAACATGTGTTGGTTAGACAAACGAAGCATGTAGCATCAGGCCACACTCCCTCAATAACGTTCACTGATTCCTCACTGCCTTCAGAATAAAGTTCAGGTTCCCAGTCTGACAAGAAAGGCCATTCTGTCACGATCTACTTCTCCTGCCTGGCACCCATATATCCCGCATGCCCCCTACGTTGCATGCTTGGACTGTGGATCTGTATAAAAGAGGAGTGACCTGTCCTCGTGGCTGGAGCCCTCTGCTCAGGCTGTGGATCAAATCTGAGAAATCTGTAGAGCTGGAGAAACCACTTCACCTGAGTCTTAGTTTGCAATAAGATGGTCATAAGAATGCAACAAGACATAAGATGGTCATAAGAATGAACTGCACAAAGGGTCGGGACAACTCTGCATGCTGTAAATTCTCAAAAGGTATTCTAGTCACTTCTGTATTCCTGCTGCCTAAAGCAGTTCCAGCTCACAGTGGGTACTGAATATATACTTGTTGAATGAATAAAATAATTTTTACTAGCACAAAACCAAATATTCTTGTTTCTTGTGGTCAAAATAGGAGAGGCTTTCAAGGTCTGCTAATAAGATGAAGTAGGGGTTATGATGAGTTGGGCCCACTTGGAACTCCATTCTACAAAAATAAAGCCATGTCTATGAAATCAGTCAGCTCCATAATGATCTGCCACTCCAGAAAAGCTCTTTTGAAGCTGTTTTGGGACTAAACCTTGCCAAAATCTCATTTCTGCTTGCTATAGTGTCCCCCTCCAAACTCACTTTTACATGGAACCTCAGAATGTGACCTTGTTTGAAAATAGCATCTTTGCAGATCTAATTAGTTAAAATGAGGTCATAGTGATGGGTGTACTTATAAGAACAGCAGACAAAGACACATAGGGAGAACACCATTGTGATGACAGAGGTAGAGACTGGATAAACAAAATGTGATATAGCTATACAATGGAATATTATTCAGCCATATGAAATACTAATACATGCCCCAACAGGATGAATCTCCAAAACACTGTGCGAAGTGAAAGAAGCCAGTGTAAAAGACTATAAATTATATGGCTTTATTTATGTGAAATGTCTAGAATCAGCACATCCATAAAGATAGCAAGCAGACTAGGGGTTTCCCAGGGGTGGGGGTAGGATGGGGGAGTGGGCATGGGGAGTGAATGCTAATGAGTATGGGGTTTCTTTTTGGGGTAATGAAAATGTTCCAGAATTAGACGGTGGTGACGGTTGCACAACCCTGTGAACATGCTAAAAAAACAATGACTTGTACACTTTAAATGGGTGATGTATGGTACGTGCATTTAAAAACACACACACACGTATAAACACTTTGCAAAGTATGAAGTGTTAATTATGTGAAAGAGATTAATGGTCTAATTAAATACATCTGACCTTTAGCTTATTTCCTCTCTAAAGAGAATACTGAACACTCCTTACTAAAATAGATTGAGTAAGAGACATTCTCCCTTTCCTATCTTCAGTTCCCTGCCTGTCCTCCAACCTTATTGTTCAGGGGGGTTCACCCCACAATCATGGCAAGACAGTAGGAATTTCAACAAAACAAAATATCAAGAAGTCATGTTTGGGGTCAAAAGACCCAAAGTGTAAAAGGTGAATAAAAAAACCCACAGATGTGAAAACAAATCCATGCAGTTGCATAAAACGTGCATAGGATTTGTTTTTATTGCCTGGCTACCTCTTGAAGGGAAGAAAAGAATGCTAAAGGCGTGTGGCTGGGCTGTTTTTGGTATGTGACTATAACGCTGGTGTAATGATGTGTCTTGGGTCATTAGGAAGGTCAGTTATATAGCAAGAAGAAAATGGACGTTTCCAGACTCCAGGCCTGGGCTTCTATCTCCATGTCTAGACTAAAGATAATGCCAGAAAATGCTTGAATCAATTTGTTTTCTTTTAAAAAGGGTTTTATTTTTTCCTCTTCATCCTGGCTTCTTTTTAGGGCCCTAAAAATCACTCCCCTTCCTTTCCACAATCACCCCTGGGAAGCCTGCCCAGTGCACAAACACTCCGCCCACCTTCTTGCAAAACTCTAGAACAGGAAAGCTCTGAAGGATTTTAGTAGAGGGGCCCAGCCCAACCCAGCCCTGCCCAGCCCAGCCATCAACTGGCTAGTGATAACAGGAGCAGGAAAGGGGCAGTTGGCGGGAGTTTCTGGAAAAGATGACTGGCCAAATAATGACTGGTTCCCTTATCTCAATGCCCTTCTTATCTTTATCCTTCTCTCTCCCCAAATCCCTGCCCCAAGCCTCAGTGGGTATCAGAACCCATAAAGTGGTAGACCAAAGCACATGTTGGGACCCAGGCTGGATTCAAAGCCTGGATCTGCTAAATCCTTGCTCTGTGGCCTTGGACAGTTACACAAGCCTCTTTGTTTCTCACCTGTTCAACAGGTAAAATACATAGTTTTCCAGGGCTGCCGCGTAGTTTGAGATCATACATATGAAGCATTTAGCAAAGTGCCTGCTCTGATTCCGTAATACATGTGGAAATGCTGCCACCTTGAAATGGGCCGAGAGGTATGGAGGAGCTTTCCAAGCAACAGA